GTACTTTACTATTACATCAACAATTAAATATAAGAAATTCTAAGAACACAACTAAAGAAATATAAATTACATTGTGCAATATGTGATGGGATATATCCTTCTCTACAAAAAAAACTATTAACAGAAGTTATCAATAAGAATATTAATTTGCAAATGTAATCGTAGAAGACTATGTCGACTCAGAATATAATGATGTCTTTCTTCTTCCACAGAAAATTCTATTTATATATTTATTAAGTAATGTAACAAAGTAAAGAAAGCAATGCTGTAAGTGAAAAATTGTGTACCATAGATAGTGTACTTTACAACAAACATAAGAATAATCACGTTCTGCTTGGCAATGAGAACTCAAACCTTTCTTCCAGTTGCGTACTGCATTGTTCAGTAATGGTGGGGGATGGGGCTGGTATGCGGGAGGAACATCGTGGCTGCCATCTGCGAAAGCCTTACCGTTTAGTCAAATTCACTAATATTTACATGACGTTAAAGCAACATAAAGAAATTAGGTAACAATTATGTAAATAACATTACTCTGAATAATGGTTGATAAAATTGTTAATAAGTTCAGAATTGATTGTGCCAGCCTCCTCTTATTAAAATGCAGAAAAAGTAGAATAGCGAAAATGAAATGTGGACGTATCAACTGAATAACCATGATTTCTGTTCGGAACTTACAGAGAACACCATTGTTTTTCGAATTCTCTTCCCTAGAAGGTTGCGTTTTAGGAATCTGCACCAAATTCCCGGGCTGTACTATCACATGCTGGAAGACACTAGTCGGGGTAGACGGGTTCGAAGCTTCGGTAGTGGTTGTCATTACAACACTCGTAGGTGGTGGTTGTGTCCTTTGCATATCTATTTGCGCGGATACATGCGTGGCCATTTTACTCGCCTGTTAATAACAATACGTTGTGTTCGTTTATGAAACATTTTAGATTTTTAACGACTACTTTACGCGACTTGCTCAGTTTTACTGAATGACGTGCGGGCCCCACTTACTTGTTGTAAAACGGACAATTTATCGACATGGACGGATGAGACGACAGCAGGTGACTGCGGCGGTTGACATTGCGTTTGATGTAACGTTGCTGGAAGCTGACTTAAATGACTCATTAACGCCGGTCTATAGTTATCGTCCTGATTGATTAGGTGGCCTGCTGCAGAGACGTCCATATTATTCTTTATCACGAGATATTTTTTTTCGTGTTGATGATGCATCACGTAAATCGGTTGATTTTGCGTCGCCGGTTGAGCGTAATCGACTGGTTGCTCTATGGGTTTGTGTAGCAGAGTCAAGTTTTGCGGCGTGGAAAGCGGCATGTGAGGCAAATGCGACGATTTCAATTTTTGTTGAGTACTTTGTTCTGAAATCTCCGAAGTGTGAAAACCGTTGTTCGTCGTGAGCGCGTGTTGAAGTATAATGCCCTGCTGCTGTTGAGCTATAGTAGTAACAACCGACGGATGTCGCGGCGGCGGACTTTGTTCCGACCATGGCAAATTGGATCCGGATATGCCACGGCTCACAGGAGAACTTCTTATCACACTTGTTCCTATACTGGCAGGAACCGGGGCAGTCGGAGCTGGTCGATTCGATCGTACTACTCGATTGGGTTCTGGCTTTATCACCTGCTGTTGGTACTGAGCAAGAAAAGTGGACTGAGTGGGCGAATGTTTCCACTTCGCACCAGGGGAAATTAGCGGCGCCGCGTGATGTGCCGGACTTGAAATAGGCATAAACACGCTATTCTGATTGAGACCTAATGGTGGTACAGGAGATTGGTTGATACAAGGCGATATCGACGATTGTCCGGTTGGCGAAGAAAAGGCTGGCGTTGCCGATCTGGAACTTCCCAAAGAAACTGTAAAAAAAATAATATTACATTATTATTATTAATAGGTTAGTTATTTAACAGAGAAAAGATTCAAAAGTATGTCGAATTCAATTAACCACGAAGATCCAATATTAAAAGCTTACCAAGCATGTTAGCAGCTTCGGTCTCATCTTGATCAAATCGGCCGGTAATTCTTCTATCGCCATAGTTTGGAGAAGTATCGGAATCCCTAGATGTTTCTTCGCCATCCATTTTACCACTGAGGAGATTATGTTACGTTACCATCAAGTTCTTCTGTATTTAGTCGAAAAATTAATTCTTGTAGATTTCCTTACCCAGGAAAAGTATTTGTCGGACCTCTGAGACAAGATCCTTTCAAACTAAGGTGACGAGAACAGTATCCCCTTCGTTGGCTTTCTTTGGAACATCCTTCTTTACTACAAAGTCTACGCCACTGTTTACCGTTGAATTTTTTTCTAACTCCACTTGGTGTAGCCACTACGTCACCTTTTTTATATCTATGTGGCGTTGCCGCCTGAGATCTGTTTTAGGATTGACGAAATTTCACAACAGATTAACATTGTCGATTTATGTTTCTCAAATTCTAAAATACACAATAGAATTAGCGTTGTTACCTGGGCGTGGCTGCTTGAGAACGAGGAGTTATACTGCGCTGTTCGACTAAACTACTGGTACTTCCCCGACTTTGCATACTGCTCCGTTTACTGCTCCCTGACAATTTTGCATCTGTCAGTTGAATATATTTACGTTACTATGTTACTGTTTGTATATTATAAATGGAATTTGCACATTCAAAATACAACAAAAACATTTGCTGACCTGCATCGGAAGGGAACGTAATATCTTCCGTATCTAAGTCATCTTCACTTTCTAAATCATCGTACGATCGACTTCCGTTACTTAACGTAGCCGTGGCAGAATGAGCAGAGGTGCCTAAAGTCATAAGAGGACTAGTACCAGTCGTTCTATAATAACCACCCGAGTCGCTATGTGTTGATATATGAGATGTATGGTGAGAAGTGTGATGGACCAAAATTGGCACTGCTGTCGGACCTTCTGAAGAATTTCGATAGCCATGTTCTACAAAGGATGAAGAGAAAGGTTTTGGATTGACAAGGAAAAATTTCGTGTTATGGAAAACCATTCAATTGTTATAAAATATAACAAAACATTCAATTTTCAAAAATATGACATGTGCATAAGTCGTAATTACGTACCAATTCCTTCGACCCTCGAAGAATCACAGTCTTCTAATCCCTCCTCCAGTTCGTCCCACCACGGAGGTTGCACTAAACGTAAATCCGCTCGTTTCACTACATAACTATCACTCTGATCATCCTCCCTTGGAATTTTAACAACAAAACGCTTAGGCTTCGTTAATATCTTGCACACCGTCCCTTTTACGAACACTTTAGCCGCGTCGACGTGATTGTTCGACGTTGGACACCTGATGCAAACTTTCGCGTCCATAGTCACTTGCCCGACCGACGGGCTCGCGTCACCTATCACGTCGTACCTTCCCGCGCCCAAAACGTCCGTGTAACGCATAAGTTTTCTCTCTCCGTCAAACTCTATGTATATCTCTCCTTGGACAACGTTACGGATAACACCCGGATAATAATACGAATCCCTTAAAGCTAACACTCTGTGGTCGCGCCACTCACTGAGATCAATAGCAACGGTAGCAGGCCGAGGACGAGAACGTAAGGGTTCCTCTCGAACTGAATAATCCACCGCTGTACTTTGCGGTGGCAAAACAACCACCGACGATGCCGAGGATATCTGCACAAGGATTCACCGCTATTAGCACGTGAGAATATTATATAAATTAAATATGATGATAAAAGAAATACAATTACGAATTTGGTGTCGAATGTTTTATTATATTGGTGCGCGTGAATTTACTTTAAACAGGTGTAGATCCCATAGAATATTTAAATAATTTATAAGTTTATATATAATTTCATTATTCTTTCACAAAACATGAAATATGATCTTCAACTTCAGAAACTAAATACTTCACATGCACTGCCCTAATAATATTTTAAATACTGTATTCAACTGTGTATATGAAGAATATGTTTATTCGTTTAAAACTTGTACATAATCATGATTAAGTATGACGGGAGTATGAAATTCTGATGAATTCCATTAAGTACGTACTTGATAACAATCGGACTCTTGATGTTGCGGAGACTGGTGAGTCGCTAACGTTGAATGCTGAACTAAACCCGATTGACTGAACGGTAAGTTTGGTGTCCTCATATTCATCATATTGTTTATGTTGCTCGTCACATTGCTGGTCTTGTCCATCTCCTCGAGTTCCGATGGATCGAACTTTCGTTTCTTTGGAAGTTTCTTAGCGCTGATTGTTGGATCCGAGAGATCCCGCTGTGGAGGCGCCGGCGGCGGGGGTGGTTGTTCCGAGATAGATTTCTCTTCGATCGAACTGTTGCCACCACCCCCGCCTCCTGCACCATACTGTCCGCCTCCGCCACTGAGGGGATCCCGTTTCTCGGGCATCTCGGAATGAGCAGTCAGCATTTTGGCCACCTCACGCTGCTCTACACAATGAATTATTAAATCAATTATAATAATCGTGTCCGCGTAAACGACTTGTTGCATGAATAAGTCCACATACTACTACTAAATTATCGATCAAAACGTTTCCTTATTAAAGACTAATGAATTGATTATTATAAATCACTTAATTTTATAGATGCAACGAATAATATCGAATTATTTATTCACTTTTGGACTGGAACAATAAAATTCAATAATCGAACGAAATTTCAAGTAAAACCTAATCAATTTTATTACATCGCTCAATCTCATCCGAACATATCGAAATACGAGCTTGTTGAAAAATTTTTAAGATCCGAAATTCGATATCGCCCTAAGAAATCGTAAAACCATTCGAAGATAGATGTAAATCTTATTATGTAAATGTAAATATAAATGTAAACGTGAAATTTTTTAACTAAGCATTCTTATTTATTCCTGTATTATTTATTGATTAACATTCTTATATTGGAAAGTGATCTGACGCACTTGATGATACCAGTTAGAGGGTATCTGATAGTGTGTAAAAGAATATGTATAACGTTATGCATGTACTTACAGTCTGTACAGTCGAGAGGAGGCTGCGTGCTGAAATGTGACGAGCTGAAGCTGGGAGGGTGGTGACATCGGCTGGGTGCATACCTCAGCACCCGGCTGTCGGGGACAGGATGCGTCGAGTCTGGGCTCTCTCGTCTTTGTCTATCTTGCGACAGGGTTGCTGTTCCCTCTCCCAACTCCAATTCTTCTTCCCAGCCCCAACTGCCGAGCATCCTCCTCCGAAAATTCTCTTCTTATGCGAACACTTTTTCTCTTCTCTTCTCTTCTTCTTTCTTAATTATCTCGTACCTGTACGTGTCTTCAATGTCCTGCAACAACGGAAACGTGTTTCAACCAAAAGGTAACCTACCGAATGGTTCTAAGCGAGCGGTTCCACCTTCAATTCTCACACCGGAATTAGGGTTGTCCCTTGTCCTCATTTAAAAAGCAGAGAACCCGGAATTTGTATGCGCTCGCCCTTCGACGGCAATTTCGATCTTCTGTGTAAAGTTCTTTGTCTTAATTATACTCTGAGTTAACTTCCTTTGAGAAGAAGACTCGGGTAAACCCATTTCATCAAATTTATTAGGGAAGTACCTCGCAGGAACTTCTTTTATTAAATAAATCTTTCTGTATGTGAGTGGATTAAGGAACTGACTAAGTTATTTTAGTACAACGTTAAGGTAATGTGATTCATAGAAAAATGCGCCGTCTTCCTTAATTCAATTCACTAAACAGTAAGAATTAAAATACTGATAAAAACCCGCGCAATTTTTAATATCTGAATGTGAGATTAACAAGAACGATCGAATTATTGTAATAATTTATATGAATTAATTTCTCTGATAAACGGGGAATTATCCTGCTTGTACAGGCCGACGGATCAAAACAGGTGCGTGACGAAAAGAAGTTCGAATTGTATAATCAGATTTTACGCACGCTGTTACAAAACGATTGCAGCAATTTATGAAACAACTGGTGATTGCGTTTTTTAAACATTCCTTTCAAAACGTCTTTAGGCTGTGCGTGAACGATAAATGAACATTGAAAAATTTACATTGCGAATGTGTTTTATGGTTTTATACGATCCATTATGAATAAGTACGAGTACACGAAAATTCCTGAGTTAATTATAAGAATTTGCAATTTGTTTCAAAGGATAGAATGTAACAAAATGTTAATGTAACATTTATGCGTTCAGTTCTGTTATGACATATTGTGAAAGAAATCTTGTATACAAATAAAAAATATGAAATCTGCAAAAAAATTATGTGCGATTCAATGGTTGTCTAAAAGAAAATCGGATTTATCGAGTCATCGCTTTTCTTCTTTACACATTGATTAATGTAAAGGAATGACATATAAATTAGTTACTAGAGTGCGCACTTATTTTCATTTAATGCCGATTTTCGTCCGAAGGACTCATTAACACTTTGTCTCGTGCAAAAAATATTTTGTACGAAATATATTTGCGAATGATTCGAAGAGCCAACGAACTCGATACGTTTCAGATCCAAACGTAAGGGATCGATAGCTGCGCAGACAAAATTGATAAATCGTTTCGTATTCAGAGAGAATTCCACAGTAAGCATATTTTTTAAGAGCTGCGCTCAAAAAATTGGAGAATATGATTACGATAACCGTAAGTACCTGTACTCGGGCACACGCTGCTTTAGTAAAAGCATATGATTCGAAATTAATTTTGGTACTCAACGCGTGGATATTAAAATAAGGTTCACCGCTTAGCTTAATATTTCATTGAATTAAATGAAGCAGTAACGTTTCATTAACATTAAGAGGACCACATTATTTTCTCGCACACTGAATAGGATCGCGGCGGCCAACCATGAAACGTCCCGCGCTCGAGCGTTGAACACAGATCCGACCTTCAGGCTGGCAGGAGTTATGTTTCACAAAAAACAAGAGCTGCCCATGATCTGCGATTTTCGTACGTAACGCGAAACGGGAAGATCGGCACGCACGACATAACCTATTCAAGAAATCGCCACTTCGTACCTATCTCCGAAAGCGGTGAAAAACGATCGGGCTTTGTGAGCCGGCTCTCACTTCGGCGTCTTCGGTACTTACGGGACGAAGATTCCAGGGGCGACTAACGAGTAGTCAACAGGCACTTAGGTAGCCGTCGTCGTCACCGTCGTCATCGTCGCCGCCGCCACGAATTACGGGGAAGTAGGTACGCGCGCGCACGTACACACACGGGGAGACGCAATCACGAAAACGAACAAACGAGACGAGAACACTGGATAGGAAAGTTTCGCGGCGAAGCAAGAGGCCAAGTCGGTTTTACACATAGATCGGGGATCACCAGCGAACCTTATAGTACACACGTAGTAAGCACCGTCTACTCCGATCATGTTTCCCGATTCTCTGCATACAGAAAAACGACGGAGAGGAAACAACGCGAGGGAAGATGAAGAGGTCGCGGGACAAGGATAAAAACAAAAACCCATACACGCGAGGTTCTTATCTCGCGTACAAACAAGCGAGACGATGAACAGGCAGAAAGGGATAGAGAGGAGAAACTAAAGAATAGTATAAGAGAGAGTCGACATTACCACGTTTCTTCGCATCCTACCACCTTCGATGCGATCGCTGCATGCACTGACACTCAGCCGAGAGCCGAGCTCGTCCCGTAGCCCGGGTTCCTCGGAGGAAAACAACGTTCTCGTGATCGGGCGTAGTGTGGGTAAAGGACTAAAGGGGAATGCACTAACCTCGCTACTCCCTACCACGAGGCTGACTCACGTTGCCTGCCTCTGCCTGCCTGTTTGCCTGCCTGCCTGCCTGCCGTGCCCGCTCCGAAACTATCCGCCATTGTGTCGTGTCGGACTCTTTCTCGCTCCCACTCCCACCGACGAACCTCTTCTCTATTCTACTCTACTCTTTTCTCTTTCTTTCTCCTTCGTGAGCAACTTGCTGTAAGCGTAAGCGTAAGCCGTAGACGCGCGCGTTTTACAGGTATACGCGAGGGTGGCCGAACGTCTACATGTGTATCGAAACGAAATTCAAAACCTGTTACGTGACGTCTAGAAGATAGCCGGTGCGTCTGAGCAGAACTTATCCGTTACTTTGGATCATTTACTACCCTTAGAAGAAATAAATGCACAGCTACACGATTTATGAACACTCGTTTTATTCATTTTCCTTTTCTTAAAATAAGAGACCAGCAGTACTACTTGTGTCTTTACAGATCTATACACCATTCGAGACTGTATTAATGTTCTTGTTCGTCATTAGAAATGAAATAATGGGCTATCGTACGAGGTCGTTTTTGTCCCAAAAAGTCTTCTCAATGATATTACAGAGGATAAAACGACTAGTTCGTGATTTCAAGCAACTGACGACAAAAAATGTTTTACAGACTTTCATTTACCCATTAAGTAGTTAAAAAATGCCAGATCTTGAAAAAATGACGATGTTTCTTACGTCTGCTTATTGAAAACATGTAAATAGGGTAAGAATCATGAAATTACGAACACGGTCACGAACCCTTCCGACTTGACTCCAATGCTCAGTGAAATAGAATTGGTACGATTGACACTTTGACCGCGTGTACATGTATGTAACATGTAAATGAGAGCGAATTCGCGATGCTGATACACGAGCGTATCGTTAAGATTAACTTGCTACCATCAAGGTAGAAATGAGTCATCGCGTATGAGTAATATGATAAAAGTAGGTTTCTAATTGTTGTAAGTGTAGTCACACTGCTGGAAAATACATTGCGTACGTATGCCCACACGCAAGGTACGAAAAAAGAGTTGCGTATCTACGTATTTCATTACGTCCAATCCATCCAGTTAATCCCGTGTGTGAACACTTTTCTTTTTTTCATCGGTCATAATTAACGAAAAACACATAATCGACACATTATTTCAAGCTTACTTTCTTCTACGACACATCGTAGCAACTTTTAGCTGCATTACACACATATAAAGTAGGATTTCGTGAAATTCGTTAATCGAATCATTCTAATAATTTCAATATTTATTATCCTTTAAAATGGTAAATTTTCATACGATGGTTATTAGTGTGAAAAACATTTTGAAGAAAATTTTAGGTGTAGAAAGCACAGTCTCGTGAACCTTCGGCATCTCTTCGATGTGTATACTTGTTTACGTGGATATCAGCGACGTGTCGCGTTACCAGTCATTCGATATTGTCAAAACAGGAGACTCTTCTTCGGCGAAGAGACAGCCAGGGACGAAGTCACCCTAATGGCGATGAAAAAAAAAAGCCTACCAAAAATGCCGTCCTAATTCAATTAAATGAGGGTGAACGTAAGCAAGCGTGTTCAATGAATTACATTCCGGCAAGTAATTGAATTAGCGAGAAAAGGGTAAATGGGAGACTCCTGGTGGATAAAAAGTTTTCAACTCTCATTGCTCGTGTAGAACATGGAATAGGCTAACAGATCCTGAAAATATCAATCTTCTTATAGCATATATTACAGATTATACACCAAGTATAATATAAATCTGAGTACAAGAGTAGTAAGGTATATATTTAAATACGAATTATCGTAGAATAGTCTTTGTTCAATATCGCCTCGGATTGCGTATAATGTTCTAATTTTCATGAATCAACGAGGAAACAGGGATAAGGTGAAACAATCGAGGAGCACGCAACGTGAAATCCCAGACGATACAATGGTCGAAACGAGTTCGTAATTTCTGAAATATTCAGTTACTAGATGCTCCGTAAGATTGTGGAAATTCGAAAATAAATAGAATAGAGTGCGCGTACATGGTTTCAACACATGCATGCCGCGTATATGCATGTACGTATTCTCACTGCGGGGTACACGTGGAAATCCGCGAACGCAAGTTGTACACGAATGCCCGCCGCCGCGATACGCTACGTATTATGCAAAAAGTCCCTTTGCGCAACGTCTTTATTAGCGGTCCGCTCGCTTTCCCAGTGTGCAATAATCGTGACCGAGTGAAAAAAGAAATAGAAGGAAAAATGTTTCCACTTTAATTTATCGCGATCATAACGTCATACGTATGTATACCATCCAGCGAGGAATTAATCAATTTCTGCGAACGTGCTAGTCCGTGTATTCGCGATTCAGCTTTCTAATTCGCAGTTTCGTGTGTCAGGCCTCCTCACTGCACTTCCCAACAATTATCCCAATGCAAATAATAAAGAAATACGCATGAATTTCAACACTACGGTCGTCACCCAGTTAATTGTATATTAGGACTCGCATTCGTAACTATTTTTAAACTTTCATTAAACTTATTCCGCGTAAAGTGGATGATAACACCCTCGTAAAAGGGTATCGCGATTTGGAAGAGTCGGGACT